ATGCTTTGTTATTTACCACGATATTTTCGACGACGATGTTTTTAAACTGCGAAATTTTTGAACCGCTTTATTTTCGGCGACGATATATTTGAATCCGCTGTTTTAGAACTGCGATGCTTTCTCTTTGTTTTCTTTTCTCCCACGACTTTTTGTACAAAGACGTTTTCAGTTTACGTTGTTTTCTTCTCGACTTGTTTCGATTGCCATATTTTTCTGCGATGTTTTCGCCGGACACCAATCAGACTGGGAGCAATCCGAAGCAAAGTATTTGTCGAGTAACCATGTCATAATGGTCTGATTATTTAAATATGAGTAATAACCATTATCATCTTTCTAGCGATGCTTTTGTTTAAATAAAAAGATGCGACTTTAAACTTGCATTTCATATTGTAAAATAAAAATCACTACCAGTAGTTGATTTGGAAGATTTATTTATGTTCATGCTGTAAGGTTATTTTTTAAATTAGCAAGTTATTTATAATTTTAGCATTTTCTATAACTTTGTATGTCTGTTTCTTCACGAGAATGCAAATAAGATAGCTATTTGGACTGAGGATTTTAGAGTTTTAAGACATAGCATGTTCCTGGTTTCGCGTTCTCGCTATGTTTAGCTCCTGCCAGGTTTAAAAATTGTAAATATTCGTTTTTTCGTTATAATCACTGTCGTAAATTTGATTTTGATGCTTCGGTAAATGTATTCAGCTAACTTCGAGAGTTAGTTAAATTGTGTAGTCTTTCACTACTGTGCCACGTTAACTTAAATTCGACTGTTTTCACACCATGAGCTGTGGCTGATATGAGCACAGAGGTTGGGTTTATGTTCTAAGGTCTATTAAAGTAAAAAAGTTGTTTAAACCTTTCCACAACTTTCTAGTTATTTCAGGCGTAGTGATAATTTCTTTTACGTCTATTGGAATACTAAATTAATTACTAGTTTCAGATCGACTCATAATATAGTAATCCTAAATTTCTAATAAGAAATGCGAATTTTAGTTTGAGCAAATTTTATCCACGTAGTTGAAGGCCGACCATCAAATGTAACACACATGGATCACAGTCATATATTTGAACGCAGTTGGGTATTGCTGTTTAAAGAGAGGTTCAAATATCTTTAAACGTTCTGTTTAAACTTTTTTATTTTTGCAAATGTTGTTTCATGTTCCTTTATAATGTCCTATAGTACTTTATTTATACTTTTTCCTGTACCTCTATTTGTCACTTTGTTACATCAATATTACACTTTCGTTAATATATATCTTCCTGAGTTTGGGCGAAACAAATCAAATATATCTTAAAAATGCTATGAATTTCGGAAGAAATGAAATTTAAGTTAAGGTCTCTAAAACACAATTACTTTTATTAGTAAGATAGGAAACAGTTTAAAGAAGAAAAAACTTGGAGATCTTGAGGCAATTCAGAAACTAGTTGTAGGCATCCCTGTGTGATTCCTTAATCCCTACTAAGACAGCTAAGTGAACTAGCCTCCTGCTATGTAAATAACAACTGGTTCCGAAGAAGATTTAAACAAACTTTTTATTTAAAACCTTAAAAATCGAATAAATGCACGGCTTGTGCTTGCAATTTACAGTTTAAGTATGAACTTAAAATTACATGTAATGCAAAAAGGCGTTATGTGACAAAATCCAAAATTTACGACAGCAATAAAAAATAATCACGTTCCTCACAGGAATGTCAAACGTTCGAAACGAAAAGTCAAGAGATCGATGTAACTAAGATCCATATAATTCAGCGTTTTCAAGGTTCTTCTGACATTATTGTGAGGAAAGGGATAATGCTTTGTTGCTCCTGTAAAATTTGGCTTTTAACACATAGCCCTTTTTTATATCTTCCGATTCATTTAGATTCTAGAGACTACAATGTAAACAACCTAACAAGAGTATGCTCTAATTTAGTAAATGGGCGATTAACATCGGCCAAAAAAATGGCTAACTCCGATTAAATAAGTAGCAGAGCTGTTCCAAAGAACAGTAAATACTACGGTCAGTATCGCTGCCAAAAACGCTCTTTAAAAAAACAAAAAAATCTTTCAAAGGCAGCGGGTTTCAACCATTTTTGCTCCATGCAGGCCTTTTGCCATTGTCATGGACGATCATCCTTACCTGCTCTTTTCCAAAATTAGACAAATACATACATTTGTTTAAATTTAGATTATTATTTAATATATTTGATAAGTCAAACAAGTGAAAGTTGTATACTTTCACTTGTTTGACCAGATAAGATACCAGATAAAAACCAAATAGATAAATACCAGAACCTGAATAAAAATAGTTTTTCAGATTCGTAAACTAAAACTAAATACTTAACAAGTAATTAAAATTCTAAACTTTAAAATTCCCCTCGGGCGGAAATGATTAGTTAATGTAAAATATTTTAGACTATGAAAATACGAAATAGGGTGGAAACATGATTATTGTTACTGTAGAATAGGACAAATATCTCTAAAAATAGCAATAGCTCTCACTTGTTCTAAATGAATATTTTTCTAGTGATTCAAGGTAAATCATCTTTTAGCATTAACGTTTAACGTAAACCTTTTACTGTTTGCTTTCCTCCCATGTGAAGTCATGTCACCATGGTAAGCAAAGTAACGTACTCTTAACGTACATCATACTCTCAACAGGATGATATTTTGAGCTCAAAAAAGACCCTAAAAGTGTTTTGTGTTCCATAATAAAAGACAGTCAGCTATTCACTTGTAAAGGTGAAATGATATTGAAATTATAGCAAACATATTTTTAACAAACTGAACCGTTCTAAGAATTTCGTGCAATACATCTTCCATTGATATTGACTATGCTGTTCTGTAGAAACGTAAATAGAGAATTTTAACAGTGATGTTTAAGTTATAAATATTTATAATTATTATTAATTCAGGATAACAGGTAAAAAAATAATGTTCCGCTGCTACAGTAGAAACATTAATAAAGAATTTTAATAATGGTACGAGAAAACATCTATTAATATGCTATAATACCGGTTATTAAAGACTGGCATTGCTTTAGAAAATAGCGCTTATTTACAAGGGCTGACACACACACAAAATAAATAAATAAATAAAAAAGTAATAAATAAATATATAAAAATAAAAAAAAACGAGCCTAGTCTAAAAAATCATTGTAGTTACAGAATCAGTTCTCTGTGACATTATCAACTTCAAACTTCCTTCAGTATTCACACACATCTGTATTCAGCACTGTTATTGCTGGTAACAGCTCTGGCACGAGATTTTCGGAAAACCTTTCATTAGATTCTTTGTTTTTGCCTGAACCTCTGAAGCTGAGGCAAAATGGGTTTCCCTTAAGTAAGATTTAACTTAAGGAAATTAAAAAAAAAAAAAAAAAAACAAAAAATGTCGCATGGAGGTAAATAAGGAGGATGACTCATCAGAGTAATGTTTTTTTCTGGTCAGAAATTGCTTGACAGATAGGGCCGTGTGGCGGATGCATTGTCCTTGTGCAACAGCCATCCATCACCCCACAATTGTGGCTTTTTTTCCTAATTTTTTCACGATGTCTTATTAGTAGTTCAATGTAGCAGTGTTGATTAACAGTCTAACCACTGGAAACCCATTCAATCATGACGGGCGCCCAGCACGTTCTTCTTCCACACTCTCCCTACCCCCTGAAAACCGCTTATGCCATTCAAACACACGTGCATGAGACAAAGTTTCACCTCTACAAACCTCGGTTAACATTTGAAATGTTCCCTCCATAGCTGATTTCTTATGTTTCACAAGAAACTGGCTGTTGATTCTCTGTGAAATTTTTATATTAGACATTTTTCCGGCAGAATGCAGTTGCGTGTTCACTGAATGACGCAGTACTCCCCACTAGCGTGACCAGTTAAGTTGAAACTGGCCACATGAATGGAGGAGGTATGTGGCATGACGTCACCAAAACAGTTGTTGCCAACTCCACTCTGTTTTCAAGCTACATATTTAGTCTTTTTTTTTTTTTTTTTTTTGTATAACACCTAGTATATAATAGATCAAATCATAGGAATTTAGGTTAAAAAGTAATCTTAAAATGTACAAAATTTTGCCATTTTTCTCGAGCTTTTGATTTGATTGAAGCATAGATTATTTGAAATCAAATCTTTTTGAGAACTGAGTAAGACAGACTAGCTTATGTTTATTTTTGACATTTAAGCTACGTAACTCTGTTTTCTTTACAGATAGAGATATATATTCCGTAAGTTAGATTAGAGATATTTTTACGAATATTAGAGATTAAAGATTTTTAAGTCATGATAGATTATTTGATATCATTACAATTCAGATGCATTTAAAGGTAATATTTGACAACTGAGAAATATGTTTTACGTAAATTTAAAGTTTTAAACGCACGGTAACTAATAAGGTGATTCTCATTGCATTGTCATGCAGCTAAATCAGCTTCAGCTCTTGCAGAATGATTGTATTTGTGCAAGTGTAGAAATACAGACAAATTATAAAAAATGAAATCTGATTTATTTCCTTTGCAAAGATCTCTCATATTGTCATAAAAATTATAAATTATTTATATTAAAAAAACGTACCCAGTTTAGAGAGGTAAAATGATTTTCATCACATAATATTTTCCAGCTATATACTAAAAAGCAGCTACGAATATTAAGCTGTTATGTGATATTTAATGAGAAACAATTCCTTTTTTGATCAATGAAAGCTGCATATTTGAACGCTTTGATTTTTATGTCTTACATGCTGTTGAATGAATGATTCAAAAGCAAAATAATAGAAATTCATTACCATTATTTACAATCTCTGAATTAATTGAATTCCGTCAAATTCATGTCAAATTTAATTATTCCTGAGCTTCCGTTTCCTGCATTTATTAATTTTTATTCTTTCAAATCCCTTATTCAGAAATAATTTTCCTTCTTTTCCTTTAATAAAAAGGCCAAAGCCATCAAAGTCAAAAATTAGAAATGCGGAGATTCAAAGCTCTAATTAAAAGGAGTTTTTCTTTTTTATCTTGCAGAAATATACGACTCTCAACATTTCATCAGCGAGCCAACGACAGCGAGAACAGAAGCCGTTAAGGGTAAGTTTAATCTGTGGAAAATTACTGCACCGATCCTGTTTTAACCTCTCTTTTAGCATCGACTTATGTTTCGCCGTCGATTTAATTGGAATAACTCGAAAGCACATGTAAAAGTGAAGTTAATGGAAGACTTTACCTCGCATGGTTGACTCGTATCAGCAAAATATCGACATGAAACTTGTCTGATTTACTCAAATGAAGCTTAATTAGCACATTAAAGTGTTCAGAGGAACGAAGAGAACATCATCGAAGGTAGGGGAAGAATAAAAAGTAAATTAATAAAGAAAATGAAAACTGTTAAGGAGTTTGTTTTTTATAACACAGTTTTAGCCTCATTTGCGGTGTTTCGGTAAACATATTATGCATACTTCTCATGTTTAGGAGAATAAATTTTTTAAGGTTTTTTTTTAAACGGATCCTTTTTCAGATAACTTAGCTAAGTTTTGAAAATATTTATTAGTTATGAATGTAACTTACTGAAGGTAGAACACTAATGACATACTAAAGGTTTTAATACTTTTAGAAAAAGTAAACAATTGTAGCATGACGAGCTACTTTTGATTGTAACACAAAATAATGTTCTGTTGTAAAACTAACTTCTGTCTGCAATTGGCAATAGCCCTTTATAATTCTTTAGTTTAATTGGGTATTTTCCTTTTCTGTCCTAAAAATAGTAACTATTCATAACATATCATTGTAATGTATCATTTCAAACTCATTACATAAACTGTATCATTTCAAAAGTAATCCGCATCCGGATATTACGTTTGCAATGCTGCAATGCAGATACCTTTCATCTAATCATTGACTGAAGTTTTCATGCTATTAATACATCATTTTAAACTGCTTTATTTCCAATTAATCCACATCCGACGATCTTGCGTAACGCTTCAGTGCAGCTATACTATCGCCAATCGTCCTCCCCTCCCCCCCTTTTTTTTGAAAAACAATTTTCCTCTCTCTTAGGTATCTTCTTGAATGTGTCGACACTTTTGCGCTTTACTTCCCTCTTGCTAATACGCACATCTCGTTTCTCTCTCTTATCCATCATAAGTCTCACGATGTAAGCTTCTAAAAGTCTGGGGTGCATGTTATGCCCGTAATGATATGTGGATTAGAATATGCATCTCATAATTATTTTAACCCCTGAAATAAAATGTATTGTATCTATGGATCTTTCTCAGCAAATTTCATCCTTCTTTTAGATACTTTTTTCCTTTATTTTATACATGTATAATAAGATAACTTGGAGTAAGTTGCAACGGTGGGCAATGGCTCTCTGCGTTATAATCCTGTGAAGGCTTTACTGCGTAGTTAGAAAAATGGTACTCTAAAGAAAGACTTGAAGACAGATGAGGCCAAAGTGAATATAATTTTTATTGCTGGGCATGAAGTAATTATCGGAAGTATATTTTTCATCACACGTGGTCATGGGCGCAATACGCACCCCACAATTTTATACAGAGTATCACATTTTAGATAACGGCGTAGTTAGCACAGCGGCAATGCAAAGGAAGAGAAGTAGCCTCTTGACTGCAAGGCAGCTGAAGCAAAAGTGTGCAATTATCTAATATGGAGGCTCACAAATATAAGGTTTTGAATTAGATTTGAAATATTTTAGATTAGAAAAACAGATTAAAACAGTTAAAAATGTTTCAGTTTTCGAAATTTCGAGTTCAAGTTTCGAATTAGCTACGTCATGAGCAATACTCAAGCCATGGAAGGTGTATTGATCTAAAAAGGACTCAGTCCAGAAAAGTTATTACGATTTTTAGAGTAGATAGATACTAGAGATGTTATCGCTAGTTTAAGTTATAATTTTCGGTACTTTTCCGTTTTGCCGGCGCAAGCGATAAAGTCGCCAATAATGGTACAACCGATGCCAAACGGAATATTCTCGCTGGTAACCTTTTACGCCTCATTTTAAAAACAAGTCGCAGCTTTTTCTTATCAGATTGATTGTTTCTTCAATAGTGGCATATAATTACATAGAATTTTTATCAGATAGTTCAGTTTTATGTCTAAGGCCATTTTCGGTAATTAAGTCAATCAGGATGCAATCACAGCGCTTACCCGAAGCCGAAAATATAGAAAAGGTAAAATCAAGGGTTAAATTCATCAATTCTAACGAGAATGCATTAGCGAAGTAAAACACTGCGGTTTTACATAATTTCCGAGTAAGCTATTCGTACGAATTGAAATATTTCTTGCATTTAAACTTGCGTTCCAAATTAAGATTTAACTTGAAATTAATGTAGATAATTACTGAAAGCATTAGATTTTTGTAGAGTAGTTTACGTGAGATGAGATCGCTTGGGGTCACGTGATACGAACTCGCGAATCAGGATGGAACCATGAAAGCATAGTAAATTCTTAAATTAATATCTTTTTACAAATTTATTGTCTTTATTTATTGGCTTTTTATAAAATTTTAAGCGATATTAAAATGTTTATGCCTTCAAAAAAGAATTCTTAGAACTAACATTTTTTAAAAATATTTTTTTATGTGTATATTGTATGTTGTCGCCAATAAAGTCTGCTTGGCAAGATTTGCGCCGGCCAAACGGAAAAGTACCTAATTTTCCTTTACATATTTTTATATACCTACATGTATATAATGAATTAATACGACGTAAAACGTAGTTCAAAACCTAATCCAGCTGTGCCTTGAAACTAGCAAGAAATGGTGGTAATAATGCTAAATAAATTAATTTGAAACCTTTAATATCCATCTCAAATTGAATTTGGAACGAACCATATGCAGTAATAAAAACGAGTAGCATTATTATTGTATATTATTTGTCCCGAATTGAATATGGGTTGGATTTTGAATGTTTTAATTTAATTTATTTTCCACGTTTTTCACATACAGACATATATATATATATATATATATATATAGAAGAGAGAGAGAGAGAGAGTGTAAGAGAGAGCACAAATTAAAATTATTTGAAGCAAAAATTTGGAAAGGAAACCTTACATAAAAGTACTTTAATATTGAAACAAATCAATAAGTATAATGGAGTAGTACTTGATAATTCTTTAGTCTTTTTAAAATGTCAGCCGAAAAAATTATCAATAAATCCACGTCCATTTATTTTATCTAGATGAATCGCAAAGACAAAGAAATTAAAATAAAATTAGCTTTTACATTTAAAACAAAAAGGATCTAATGAGACGAAATTTATGCAAAATTTAAAGTAATAATTTAAGAAAATATAAAGAAATGTTTTAAAACATTCATCAAGATATAGAGTGCCCCGTAAACATTCGAAAGGAAATATGTTGAAAAATACACAGCAAAATTGCTTATATTCAAGTATTTATATAAAGTTACGAAAATAAGATCAGTCAAAATGTTTAAGGTATTTTATTTTTACAAATTTGAATAAACTTGTTTTTCGATAAATAGTTAACTTTTAATAGGACAAAATGATGTAAAATTCATAATCAAATCGTCAAAAAATTATATAACTCACAAATTACTGTAACTCAAGCAGAATGTATTCACGATATTTGCTTGGAGAAAACTCGGGATAATATTACATACCAGAATCGTAATTAAATACATAAATGAGTAATGTAAGAAAATTCTGAAGACTTCAAGTTTAACAATCTTGAGAAAGAATTTACTAATCAAAATTTCAAAATATTTTAAATATATATATAAAAAAATCGGAACGGTTTCATATTTTAAATTACGTATAAGGGACGTTTTTTTAAGTTTTGTGTGTTACCTTTATTTATTAAATATCATATTCTTTGCACTTAAACCATAAAATTGAGTTCAACAGCAATGCCGCAAAATAATTTTAAAATTAGCATATCTTTAGAATTTCCGATACACAGTTCCGCGCGCTGGAGATAAAAAGTTCCCTCCTCCCCGTAGAGTTTTGTCATTGCTCGTTTTTAAATCGTTAAGTTTGTTAATCAAAAATTCGTTAAAGTTTTACAAAATATGATAGTACAACATCGATAATAATAATAATAATCGATAATAAAACAAATTCCAAATGCCCATATTCGCAGTAGGACAGTAGGATTACGTCATTCAAAATTGGATGGCTCTAGGAACCGTTATTTTATCACAATACGAGAAACATACATACATTTATGCAGATTCTTCATTATTTAATTTCTTCAAATATAATACAGGGCGGTAATATTTGGTTTCAAAAGTTTGAAAAGTGAAATGGACATTCAGAGAGATTCGACGCAAAATTGCAAAACGAAAACAATAATCCCTCAAGCCAATTTGGACTAATAAAGCTAAAGATGGATGACAACACATAAGAATTCACTATATGAGAGATCGCGTAGAAGATTAAGATTTTATGTGTCGTAGAAAAAAACTTTTGCCAAGAATTTCCAGTCATTTTTCAGTTTCATCGCTACAGGAATTTTTGGGTAAAGGAAAAACAATACACGACTTAGGTGCAGCAACTATACATAAATGAAACCATATACTAATATTCTAATTAATATTCTAAGCTTTAGAGAAACGCAAAAGCTACACAGTGATTCTAAAATCAGTAAACATGTCGAAAGATAATTGTGGGCCTGTACTGACGTCTCAGCTTCTGTTTACTAAAATATCGTTTGCATACGGATAGAAGCTTCCATGCAATTAATTGTTTACTTTAATGTGATGAACGTCTTATTGTCATGGACCGTCTTATTGTCATGACTCTAACAAAAGACTGAACTTTGCGGGAAATAATGCAGATTTTGGTAAACAAATTGTACCTAAAAATGAAACTTGATGTTTTGCATGCGATCCTCAAACAAAGCGGAAATCATCTGTTTGGTTAAGAAAAGTTCTCGCATCCATAAAATGTGGTTTCAAATATCTCAAAAAAATAAAATGTTGGTGAACATTTTTAATTGAAAATGGATAATTAAGGAATTTGTCTGAGTTAGACAGTAAACTCCGCAATATTTAATGGGCAGACTTCTGAAAACAATACATAATATTAGGCCTAAAAAGAGCTCAATCAAGT